TGGTGTTGAATACAAGCGCTACTGGTTTTAGACTGGTTTAAGACCAGTACTTATGGGTAGGGTTATGTGTTGGCCACCAGTTTTCATTATTTAAACTTTGTTTCAGATATTTCATGCTTCAAAATACAAAAATACTCATGAGTGTCAGCTGCTGTTGCTATGGAGAAGAAGATAGTCAGAGGAATGAATCAGAGTGAATTCAGAAATCTTTTCTGTCACTGTTGACAGTAGGGTTACAGTTAACCCTAACCCTAACTAAGTCCAGAGCCATAGATGCTAAATTCATCCACAGTTTACCCAGAATAAAGGATTAATTTAAAATGTATATTATATTTTCAGTTTTCTCAGCACCATAATCTTTACATTCCACTCACTGTTTTTAAATTAAAAGAAGCTAATAACATTTAAAGCTCTGTGATCGGATGTTTCTTGCTGAAAAGCACATTGGGAGTCACAGTTACCTTCTTCCTTGAACTCACACAGGCTTGTTCTTTTGATATTTTATCAAATAACCAAATATTTTCTGACACAGTTGTTACTTTTTTGTACTGCTGATTCAAGAGCTTCATGCTGATCAAAGCTCACCGTCTAGACGTAGTCTAAAATACTTTGTCAAGTAAAAACTGACACTAATACTTTTTTGAGTTCCTTTTATATATGTGCAAACCTATAGTTAATGTTTGCATGTGTAGTGTAGACAGACAGGAGACAGACAGAGCTCCATGACCCAGAACTGATGGGTCCTCTGGCAAACACATGTTCTCAATCTATAACTGCCACACTGTTAGAGACTGCCTTATTACTTTTAATTATCTTGCCTTAAGGCGTCATCACCCAGATCAGCAGCACAAGCAACCTAAAGTAACTTAAAGTAGTTTCATCAGTATGAGTTTATGAGTATGCACACTTAACTGTGTGTGACATACCCACTATCTTTGACGTCCAACAGAAACTTTGTTTCTAATTCTGACATAAACATACCCTTTTAGTAGTGCCTGTGTGTCTCCTTGTGTGTGTGTGTGTGTGTGTGTGTGTGTGCAGTTGCTGACTCCTTTGACCATAAGAAGTTTTTCGAGATGGTGGGTCTGAAGGCCAAGTCTGCTGACGATGTGAAGAAGGTCTTCACGGTGCTGGACGCCGACAACAGTGGCTTCATAGAGGAAGAGGAGCTCAAGTGAGCGCATACACACATAAATAAATAACACACATATGAACCCAAAAGATGCAACAAATGACCTTGCTGCACATGAAACATTAGTGTCCTGACACAGATCCGTTCTGCTTTTCTGTCCCTGGCTAGATACGTCCTGAAGGGTTTTGCCAAAGATGGCAGGGACCTGACAGACAAAGAAACCAAAGCATTTTTAAAAGCAGCTGACAAGGATGGAGACGGCAAGATTGGAGTCGATGGTAAACATCAAATTCCATTAGTGGGAGTTTCACATGGTCACACAAAGAGACACCAAGAAACACAAATGTAGAAATAAAGTCACAAACACACAAACACAGGCAGATTCATTTTATTTTCTGATCTTTTATTAGTGAGTGTTGGCTATTAGTATGTAAAGTCAGTTTTATTATAGCTATGAGATCTTACACTGCAGTTGTTTTCTGTTGAACTTCTAAGCCAAAGAAGCAGAATCTAAATTTGTCCTTGTCCCACATACCTCGGTGCAGGTAATTGGCATCACTTACATTGTCCTCATCTGTTTAAATTAACGGAACCACAAAGCATGTAGAATTTTAAGCAACCTTAATGTGTAAAGTTTCTCAGATGTATACAAGAGCAAGACAGTTGATCTTAAAAACCATATTGGTGGTTTGCTTGCTTGGACCCATTAAGCGACTGTACAAAAATTATTGGGGTTGAGACAAGTGATGAACCTTATATTTGACGTAGCCCAAATCTAAAATTAGGAGTTGAATAAGCAATTGCCAAAATTGTGGTAAAAATGATACCAAGTGGTGCATCTTGTTTACTGCAATTTGTATGTAATGTATGTAATATGTTCTGGTTAAAAGTAAACATCACAAAAGAAGGGAAAATTGAATATAAGTCTGGGGCACGGAAAAATAAAACCATCCCTTCCACTCTCAAAAATGTTTTTCAGTAAAATTAAAAACTATGTCACCTCCCACTTTTTGCAGGTTTCAGCCTAATCTTTTTTGTATAGTCCCTAACCACAAATTGTGCACACTACTGTGTAAATATTACTTTGTTTTCCTACATATATTATAACTTTTTAGATAGATTGACACAATTTATTTAACTGAAAGCAGAACACATTTTTACTGTGATGGTTCTTTACAACAACTTGTTTTTCTTCCTCTTCTGCAGAGTTTGCCGGTCTGGTGAAAGAATAAACCTAGTGTGACTGACTAGCACTCCAAGATCACCTCCTTACCACCGCTACATCCTGACACCCGCTTGCCCCCCTTCCTTCCCAACACCTACACATCATCACCCCACCCTGACTCCCAGCCCACCAGACTGCAGCGGATTCCTACTACACACACTCCTCTTCCTCACTTTCTCCCTCACCGCTGACTTCACTAAGTGCAATGCTGCACTATGGGAAGTAAGCTGTGGTGTGCCACCCCCACCCCCCTGCTATATTCATCCTATTTATTTTATCCTTTTTATACAAACTGTTCTTGTTTCTGTTTATGTATAGATAAAAAAACATGCCTGCAGAAATAAACCTCACATTTTAACGCATAAAGTAGATATTTACAGTAAACAGAGATTATAAGAGAAAGACCCTCATTTCCTCCTGTATTTCTGACTTTAACCTCTTAATTATCTCTTCGTTTTCTTAGCTAACACTTTCTCTCACTTTCCCTCTTTCTTTCTCCGTGTTTTTTTTTTTCAGTTTTTCTCTTCTCTTTCACTTCTGGCACTGTTCCCTTCCTGCATTCGCTCCTCTCTGTCCCTCCTACACCATCACCACCATCACCACCATCCATCCATCTATCTATCCATCCATCCCTTTCTCCTCTGGTAATGAGCTGTTGTAAAACATACCAAAAGAAGAAACAGGTCAAGCTGTGAATGAATCAAATAAAAAGAAAAAGAAAAACGAAACCTCGAGAAAGCTGACTCACTAAGTCTCTTCTGTTAATTCCTTCCTTTGATATGATTTTTCTATCTGATTTTGCACTCTCAATCCACGCCTTCTTTCCTTCCTTTCTCTATTTCGCTGTCACTTTTACTCTAATCAAGCTGAACGAGTGAAGCATATCTTGACTGCAACCTAATAATGCATAAAGGGATGTACTAAAAAGTAAGAAGGTCAAAATTAGCCCTCAGTGTCATTTGTTACTATTCATTAGCATCCCCTAAGCAGTGACAGGAGAGGAAGAAACTGCATAAAAACAAACTCAGAGGAGCATCTTTCTGCCAGCGTTTCTTCTATTCCGCATTATAAATGCAACTTCTCTGAAAGAGAAAAAGGAAGCGGAGGCCACAGTATTCCACTTGCTAAAGAGTCTTTACTCAGAAGCGCCGTGCTAGTTTAACAGAACCATGCTGTCAAGCCATTAGCAGAATTGGATTCACACTGAGGTTCAATTTGGGTTAAGTATCCCCAGCGGAGGACCCAAACAGGCAACGCGGGAATCCTGATCTTCTTTAGTAGGCCATTTTACTGCCTGAGCAAATAAACACAGATGTGAAGCTTAGAGGCTATCACTTAAAATGCGAGGAACAGGGCTTTTCAGTTCAGTGTCGCTCAAACATGCTCACTACTGGTCCCAGCACACTGTTAAGATCAGTGTCATTCACAAGAACGACAAATGGTCAGTGGACAGTTTACGGGAAGTGGCATCTTCTTTAACATGTGATAAAGTGCTACGCATAAACACTGAAGCAAAGTGTCAAAATAGTACATGTGTGACATACTTTTAAAGACCCCAGCTTCTATAATAATAATGAATAATGTTATTTTCTGCCAAAGTTAGAAATGTTTTGGCTATTTCATGAGAGATTTCTGTATTTTTTTGTTTTTGTCTGCTCTTCTTCTGAACTTTACTTAACTATTCTTAACTATACTTTTAACTATTTTTTGTTGCTAATTCAGTAGTAAATAATAAATGATATAGACAAATACTAAAGATTTTAAGTGAAGCTGTCTGGGACTGATGATGTAATACCAGTATTTTTATTATGTAATAACTTTAAATTTTTATTCTTGTTAGTTGCATTATTGATCCATATTAGCCTTATACCAGCAGAAATAAATGCCACCTGCTACTAAAGTGAAACACACTGGTTAAAGTAATTATATGATGCTATAAAAATGGTATTACATAATCCATGAATGCGCTGCATTTTTCATTGCATTTCTGGCTCAGACATTTTATCCTATTCTTTATAAGATATTACATTATCTGTCAGAGGTTACATTTTCAACAAGCCAAAGTAAATTAGTAATGCAATTAATATTTATCAGTGGACATAATTCAGTAGACCACGTAGAGAAAATGACAACAATGGCAATTAAAACCAAAAACATAAAATGTACATACAGTATATGGCATCATGCATCCAGTCCTGAGCTACAAAAGATGCAGAAAGTTACGTAAACTGGTACAATTACATAAAAAGTCAATTTTGTTACACACCAACATGTCTTCAGGATTGATTTATAGCATCAGTTCAACACTATATACACATCATAGACAGTAATCATTTATTTCCTATATCTAAGTCATTCACATGAACTTCAGTAATAAACTAAACATTTCAGGAAAGGAATGATGATTTAAGCCAAGGTAAGATCAATGCACGTATTAGTTTATGCTACATAAACAGATTTGTATTACAGTGATTAATTCTCACAAAACCAGAGCCAATTATAAAAGAGGCTACAAAAAACATGAATAGATGTTGGTTGTTGGTTCAGACCTACAAAAATAGATATCTACAGTCCTTGTGCAAACCAAAGAATTCTGCAATATTTATGAAAAGTTTTGTCCTCTTTCTCCAGTGCTGGGTGCAGAAGGACACTATGGCTATGGAGTATTTTCAGAGGTATGAAAACACCAGTTGACAAAACAACCTCCACTCAAGGTCCACGTATTCACTTTCAACCATATACATTTCTCTTTCCAAGGTCAAAAAGAACCTGTCAAGCTCAACGTAAGCATATGTTTTAAGGGTCAAGATGTCATCAACGATTAAAACGTGGGGTCGATCTGTCGTCTGTGGTCGTGGGCTTCAGCTTAACTGTGGCAAATGGGTTGGTACCCCTTTAAAATAAAAGCGTAAAGGAGGGTGGAGAATAAATGTTAGAAGAAGAGAAAAAGAGAGTGGAGAAAACCAATATTAGAAAATGCTGTGGCCCTAAATAACATCTTATAGTCCAACACCAAAGGTTATAACAAGACAAATGAACACTGCGTTTTCAAACAGTACAAGCATCATCTAGCAAACTGCTCACCTGAAGTGAGAGTGAGAGTAATAGTCATGGTTCCCAAACGGCCGTAACTGAAATGGTTTCAACACTAAACTGCACTTGAAACTCTAATGGAAGGAAAGCGATTCTGTGTCATTTAGATCACTGCCCTCATCTGTTGTTCTCTGATTTAATGGGTTCATGATATACTTCAAAAAATATCATTAGTCTCTGGAGTGGCCTCCATTTAAGAATTTCACAACCTGTCTGCGCTTTCAAAGCAGAGCCGCAGTTAGATTAATCTTACCTTGGGAAGAGTTCTGGTCGTGATCCATGTGGTTTTGATCTCTGTAGAAAAAATTTGAGAAAGGTATGGGTGAGAGAAGGCCAATTTCAACCACAAAATGTAGACACATGCACTAATGGAAGCTCCAGCCCTTGACCCCTTCTGGTTTCAGCGGGTCCTCCCACAAGCTGCTTGCTGATGTGTTGTTTCAGGCAGCCCCACACACACATTTGAGAGTGTGTTCAGTTCACACAAACTGCTAAATCACATTTTTACAATAGCGATGGACAAGAGACCATGCAGACACATCACGGAAAATGCATCAATGTCACACTGAAAAAAACCCAAACACATTCATGATAAATAATAAATGTTTGTCATTTGCATTGTTGACTTGAGAACATGTTGCGTAGTGCAGTGTCACTGAAAGCAGCACAAATTTTACATTAACATTATGAATATGTTCAAGACTTTAGAAAACAATTCACAAGCAAGGACCACTCCATCAACTGAGATGCGAATGAATTGTTTATTGAATATGAAATGCGTGAGCAGTGTCTGACGGATGGGAATGGTGGGAGCGAGATGAGGGCTGCGGTGTGGAGAAGGCTTCGGGGGAAGGATCTGCCATTGCTTCTGTACTCACTTACTGTTCCTTACATATACCAGCCATTTGCAAAATTGTGATCATTTGCTTTAAAATCAATCGTTGTAAAATATCCCAGTTTAGGAAGGTAATCTATTACCTTAAGTCTGTCAAAATCTCTCTGCGTGCAGGAACAGAAATGCTACTGTGTGCTTGAAGAGCATCAGAGAGAAAACTGACAGCACTATCACACCTTGCAGCACCCTAAAGATTATGTACCAGATCTATTCAGTCATGAGGACTTCAAATAGGTCTTAATCTTAATATTCTCGAGTTACCGCATGCCAAAACAAGAGCACACGCACACACGCATGCACACAACCTCCTCGCCCATACACCATCAGCAGCTGGAGCTTCCTCCCTGCATCCACCAGAAAGAGGGGTGTGGGGCCATGGAGAACAGCACCTTGCCGCAGTGCCCCTGCTGAACAGACTGGAAAATACCACCATACCATCAAAGCATACCGAGCTGTTTCATATCATTTCTACATCTTTGGGTGTTTTGTTTTGTTTTGTTCAACCAAACCACAAACCAGCATTTCCTTTTGGGTGGTAAAAGTCACTCTTTTCTACGAATCTGTCATTTATTCACAGCTTATTAGCACTACACTGCACTACAGACTGCTTTCTTATAAAGACAGAAACACTGGAGGAGCACCGACCAATAAGATTTTCCCCAGCCTGGTAACCCAAAAGTTTTTTATTAATGGATTATAACTGATCTGAAAAGCAAAAATAAATGATTAATTAACTATTGATAATTCCCTTAGTTACAGCTTATAAAGGCTTTATAAAAGGTGCCTTTTAGAAAGAGGTCCCCACAATGCTTTTAAAAGAGACTGCAGAGAAGAAGAGTCCATTTGTAAACCTTTTTTAGAAGAAAAGATTGATAATCTTTTGAGAGGGAGGGAGAGCGAGAGAGGATTGATTGACATAAGCTACACTGATTGATGAATCAGACAGACTGACTGACCTTGTTTTCAGAATTAAACTCATCCCTTCTGTCAGGAGTTGGTGTGATTGGTCGCATATCAGACTGTCTATTATAAGATGGAGGTGGAGGTGGAGGCGGAGGGGGCGGGGCTCCACTCTGGCTGCTGCTCCCTGGTTGGTCGAGCAGGTTGCTCATGCTGCTGCTGCTTCGGAGAGTAGAGCTACTGAAATGACAACAAATTAACTTTCTTTATGTGTCGAAGTAGCAAAGTCTGGTTGAATTATTAATTTATTATTGTAAGTCGCTTTGGAAAAAAAGCATCAGCTAAATAAATTAAATGTGAAATATAAAATATATAGAAAATACAAACAAATATGAGTTAAAGCATGTTTTTTTCCTTGTCAAGTTTCACATTAAATACATATGTTCAGTGTATTTGATATACAAAGGCTGTAGCATGTGTTCACAGTGACTGAGCAAAGTTTTAGTTTCAAACCTCCTACTGGTTTTCCTCACAGCTATGGGTCACCCAAATATCCTAAATAGTTCAAGTTATTATTCCAGGCATGAGTTTCATGCTGACCCTATTTTGAATAAAACAATAAGGACGTCCTGGTAGAGCTGCAAAATGTATTGTGTGCTTCAGGGGTGAATGCAGAAGATTTAGTCTTTTGTTTAAAATCTCTACATCTATTCTTAATGGCTGCAAGTAAATAATTATTTGGACTGTGGGAGGTGATGTACAAATATGAGACACCTGCAAACAGTGAGACCACCAAATTCAAAACTATTTTTCCACTTCATAAAACAAGATCATTTTCAGTAAGTAAATTCATTAGGAAGAGTAATATGCGAGCAGCTGTTCTGTTTTTACATCAGAAATGCATGATTACATGGTTTTCTACAGCAAAGTAACCAGTCACAGTCAATATACAATGAATCCTACTCTTCAAATATTGAAAAGCTTCTCAGTATTGTGTCTAACTGAAGTTATTAAAGTAATATTTCAACAGCAAATATGCTTACATGCTTTAGTAATTCTACTACTACTGCTGTGTCCAGCCAAAACATAGTGCAGCACATTACCTCTGTAAAACCAGAACGTATTTTTAAACTTCAAACCCAGAGGTATCCTGTATCAATTAATGAGCTTTAGATGGGCACAATTTGTTACCTTTAGACAGAGCCAGGCTAGCTGCTTCCCCCTGTTTTCAGTTTCTAAGCTAAACTGAGCTGCTGTTGGCTGCAGTGTCATATTTATGGTGAACTCTGGTGTTAATGCTTAGAAACCTTGTTTTTCACCATATTATCTGACATAGTAAGAGTCAGAAAGATATGACAATACATTCCTTTACCAGTCTGCTCTTAGCATAGCATAATGCTATTTAACAGTCGTACTTGTTAAAAACATTTTATTTTATTTTTACCGAGAGCTGGTTGTCTTCGGGGGATCATCCACTGCTTCCACATAGGAGGCTGGAAACCATCCCTGACTGAAAACAAAAGAGTCAAAAAGTTAAGATGACACATGATTAACGCCATTAAAAATGTTAGAGGTGCAAAAACATTTAAATAAATTAGTGAAGACAAATGCACTTTTTAACAGCTTAAACAACTATTGGATGGATTCATTCATGGTCCCTAGAGGATGAATCACAGACTTTGGTGATCCTCTGACTTTTCCTCTAGCTCCATTATCAGATCAAAATTGAAATGTCCATTCCCATCAGCCTCAGTTGTACTTCGTGTTTACTGCCAATGTTAGCATGCTAACATTATGCAAACATAGAAAACTTTATGGTAAACATTGTTTTGTGCACTGATGCATTTAGCTCAAAGCACCACTCTGTCTAGTACAGCCTCACAGAGCCGCTAACATAGCTGTAGACTCTAATCCTGGTTCAGTTAATGTTTTCTTTTGCTTTATTTACTCTTTAACATGTTACTTTTACAGTGTAAAATATATAATTTCTCTCATAGCTGATTATCTTTTAGGAAAAGGAACCTGTGTCTATAAAGTGTAAAAATGTTAATGTAACTAGCTGAATATATTGGCCTTCTGAATGGTGTTGTGCAACAGAGAGTACAGCAGCAGAAAAAAAAGAAGGCTACCATATCTTTAACTTCAGCAACAGACATATTTACAATGGGTGCACATGGTTAAGCAAGACAGACAGATGCCTCCACGTTAACACAAACACTCACAGGGGAACATCACTCACCGTGAAGTGCTGTCAGCATGTCCGTACAGCCAGCCGTTCCTGGGCTGTTGGTTCATCACAGTGATCATCTCTCCTCTGGAGAAGGGCAGCAGGGTGGGGTTGGAGCCACCAGGCTGATGGGCCACCAATGCCCTCATGGATCTCCCACCACCACCACCCCCTCCCACTGACTCTGCTCGAGAGCTGTAAATGCTTCCCTGGGGAGACGGGGCTGGAGAGAAGAGTTTGTTACACGAGTTAACTGATAAAGCTCTTAATTGGCAAAGAAGGATGTCTGGTGAAATGATTAATTAAAATATATAAATGGCAACAATTTATTTATTTTATTAATTATGGCAGACTACTAAGTATCTTACTATGCATAATGTTTTTGCTTAGATAGCAGGGGATTCAATTTATTGAATTATACCAACAAGGGTGGCATTGTTTATTTCTATAGTGGGCAACAAGAAGCCTTGTTTTGCGTTTCAGAAGGGCGAAAGTGGAACATAAGTGGATGTGCTATTTAGTATTTCAAGATAATTTTTTTTCTGTTGTCACTGTATGTATTTTTATAGATAAGCAAGCCAAATAATTAGACAGGAAGAGGAAAGTACAAATGAGAAGGTTTGAAAATGCATGATGTGAAAAATGATGAGGATGGAGAGAAAGATGGTCGAGAGAGAGAGAAAGAGAGAGAGATAGAGAGAGAGAAACAGAGATAAAAGGCTTAAAGAATGATAAAGCGGGTGGTGGAATGAAGGCAAAATGAGCTCTGATATACAGGCGGAGGCATTATGGCCTGCAAATGATTTACAGACATCAATGAATATTACAGCCATGCTTTTGTTCTAAATATAACATGAAATATGTGGCACCAAAGTCAAATCAAAATCATTTTATGATATCATTGTTAGCTGTTGACATTTTAGATTTACTGTCTGTGTTCAAGCATGGTGCCGGTAAAATTATATCTTTACTCAAAGTAAATTTAGAGTTTTGGAATGAAGCCCTGTTCATATTACAGTAACCGCTCACCCCTTGATGGTATTTTGCCGAGGGTCAGCTCCTCTCTGGTCTTTTTGATCTCCTCCTCCTTCATCCCCATCTGTTTCACCATGAATACACAACTCATTACACGCACAGGTACAGTGTGAACAACCGGGCTGCCAGTCTGTGCAGTTGTAACATTAATATAACTTGTAAACACCAGGATGAATCCGGATGAGAAACAAAAGCAGCAGCCCGTCACATCCTCACATGTGTTGGATCTCCTGTATGTTACAGTGAGTAATGTACTACGTGTGACTATGAGCACAACTCAAATATTTGTCTAATGTGGCTCACAGGCTTCACTCTGTTGTAAGCAAGGATAACCAAAACAAACGTAGAATTCATGTTAATTCTCTGATTGTTATTGCAGTAGGATGTGAGATCTGTGGGGGTTCATTGGCACGTCACCTTCAAATGAGGAACGGACTGAAGCTGACAGGGTTTCTCTCAGGCCCGTCTTTGTTGTTAACTTGAATCGTAATTGTAGCCTTCATGCAAAAAACCATATGGGTTCAGTTTGTGAACTGTTCTGAAGCGTCATTTTGAATTTACACTCAAAGACTAGTGCGTTCATCCAGATGATGTATAACATCCAGATTTTGATTATAGTGTTTCAACAGTAAAGTACTTTATCACAATCAGATATTAATTTCTTTCATGGCAGAAAATATGTAATCGATTTTATTTCAGCAAAAGGTTTAATGCTCCTCAGACATTTTATTATGCCTCATGAGGTGTGATTAATTCTGATGGTTTTAAATTAAATCAGGCTCCAGCCAGCAGAGGGCACCCTGGTAACAAAAATATGATTGCAATAATTCACTGGTTTCTCTACAACACACTGTCTGTGAATAAGTATTATCCATTTCTTGGTGCAGCTAACACCCAGTTCCAACACAGTGTGTTTTCTTATCACTTTAGCACACTTTAAAACTAAATGTTAAAAGTTTTGACTGACTCTAATTATGCAATCCATTTCACAAGCCATTGCCCAAACCCATCTTAAACAGCTTCCCCTTCAGTTCTTTTTCATAAAACAAGATCATATCTCACACCAGCAGCATATTCTTGGACTTTTGAGAGATTCATATGCAATCTAGCTTGAATAATTCAGTAAACACAACTGGCTTTTGTAAACTCTCCCCTGAACTCACAGAGTAATCCACAGAAGCGGGTTGTTTGTCCTCGCGTTTTGTCGCGGGTCCTCTGGTGGCATTCACTTCATATGTCCAGGCATCAGCTCTCTTCTGCAGAGAACCTACTGTCTGCCACACCACACACAAACACAGACACACAGATACACACACACACACATACAGTAAAGAACCCCATTAATTAGGAAGGGTTATGTTGCAGAAGCTTATGTTAGTGCTCATTTGGCAAAAACAATGCATCATATACATAAGTGTATGTTCAGTGCTGCACTATGAGACAACACTCATCCACATAAACAGTGGCCTGCATCCTTTAACTGTGAGTACTATTGTTGTTGTGAAAAATGTCACCAGCATGCCATATTAGACTTCCATCCGTTTCAGTCTGTGAGAGACAAATCTGTTCTGGTCACACAGGTTAAAGCTGCGGAATTAAACCTCAGAGAATTAAAGTGTATTTATGCAAGCTTATTTCTGCCATTAAAAATGCTTTGACATAAAAAACATAAAAAAAAATTTAAAAAGTAAACAAACCAAAAAAATGACCTACTATCTCATACTTTTGACTATTTCATTAATTCTGACTTTTTATCTCATAAATTTGACTTTTTTCTTATAACTTTAACTTTTCTTGACTTTTTGAACCAATATATTTTCATCTTTACAAAATGGGCATGAATTTAAGTGAAGTGTTAATCTGGTAAATGTTTTAGGTTGAGAATTTTAGCACCATGTGTGGTTCAAACAGCCTGATGCACAACAAGACACCGCGGTTTGCATGCTTTTCTTCACCTGGTGGCAGTATAAGCTGTTTTGAGGTCATATTTATTCGAATGATCTTTGCATTTACATTGTTATCTCCAGTAGACTTATCAAAAATCATGTAAAGTGAAGGGAAAACTTGGCCCTTGGGCTGCTTCTATTTAGCCTACGAGTACAGAAAGCTCAGCAAATGTGTCAAGTCAGTCCTGAACCACTGGTGCAGTCTCAAAGGGCCTTGTGACAGCTATAGGGTTGGGTTTACTGTCACGCCCTGTCACTTGGGTCAGGAGAGTGTTGTGATAAAAAGTGAGCAGGGAGTCCAAAGTTCGAAGAGATAACTTGTTAGTGAGGCATCAGACCTGCTGAAGAAACTGAATCTGTCTATGTAGCTCTGAGGCTGCTCGTTATAAAGGAGGGGAATTTCTCTACGGGCACTGACAAAGTCTCAAATAATCATTCATTATTGTGAATTCTCTTTTAGAGTGCCTTCTTGTTATTGTCTGTCTGACATGCATTTCAATGAGTTGTAATATAAAACCCGACCCATTTGGCACCTGTAGTCAAGCCATGCAAAAACTAATCATAAAACACTAAATACATAAATGCTATTTGGGATAAGCTGTATACCTTATTCATAAGGTGGGCGATGGCTTGTATCAGGCCACAGTGTTTCTCAGCCAGGAAACGGTGTCGTCTCTCCTCCTCCTTCAGAGCCTCGCCATGGCTCTTCCTCAGAAACTGCACATACTCATTACAATCCTGAGAATACACATATTTGACAGTACATATGTAATGACTCATTTATATACGATGATGCTGAATTTAAGCTACACACACACACACACACACACACACACATACACACCTGGTTGGCTCCTCTCCTCAGCTGTCTCTCCACAGCTTCTGCCTGGCTGTGGACTTCCATCTCATAGTGCTTCCTACTGCCCTGTGTGACAGAGAATTCATTCTGTAAAACAATCCATTGGAAATCCTATTCATTGTAATGGCTTCCCATGATAGCCCGCAGTTATTCATTTTACTTTTTATTCCTGGAAATAATTATGCGGTAACAGCTAGTCATGAGCCCCTTTTTGACCTCGCTGTGCCCCTGATTTGGCCCTCACTCACTGATATGTAATCTCTGTCCAGTCTAATGTTATTGTCCATCTCCTGAAGAACCTCCACACTGAACCAGCGGAACTGGAAGGAGACACACAAAACCTTATTAAATACATAAGGAAACAGCACATAACAGCTTGATGGTACTCAGAAGTTGTGATGAACAGATTGGTGCAGTGTTGATGTGACTTACTACTCCCTCCAGCTCTGACGTCAGCATTCTTTGGTTCTTAGAGATCTGAATCAAGACGTCTCCTTAAAAACAACAGGATTACATGTTACATTATAAATATATTACAAGAAAACAATCATATTATATCATAACATATAATATAAAAATAAAATCTGTCAAAGATCCATGTCTGTAATCTTCTGGATAGGGGCAGTATCTGTTACCACCTTGGATACTACTGTATTTCTGAGCATTTATTCCAGTGTCATTAATCAGTGATCTCAACATTAATCTCTTAAGCAAACTTACACACACACCAGCTAACATACAGACATACATTTGTGATTTCCCGGTGAAAAACATTCAAATCTGTGCTCCAAAGAGCAACTATGCAGTCTAACTATCATCATGTTAAATGTTTTTTTTTTTTTGAGTGTTTGTTTTTGTGTCTAACGGTGGTCAGAAAAACTTTTGTGGACACAGATTTTGGAAGCTGGACTGTTTCACTTGGGTGTCTGTTGTATAAGACCGTTGTATATCACACCTGATAGATCTAACATGAAGAAAACAACGAAAACAACATAAAAGATGTAACAATGTAACAAGATGAAAAAGACCCTATTTGAAGCTTCCATTAGCTTTGCAAAGAAACAGCTGGTAGAAATGTTCCGCAGATAAACCAAGAGGGCACTTTCTACTTTTATACTTTGAGGACAATTCGTTTTACTTCTACTTGTTTAATCAAAGTGCAGAGGCTACTTTTGCCTCCTACTGGCGATTTGCCTTTCATCCACTACTGTTATATATAATATTGGGAGTTGGTTCATTGAGATAAGCAGTAGTATCTATTGCAGAAGCAGAGGGACGTAATTAAATGAGCAACAGTCAAATCTTAAATGGTGGGAAAAAATATAGAAGCACGACCAAAACATGGCATTTCTGTTTGTTTCATGTATTAATTTGAGGAAGGTTACAGTCTCCTCATCGCCATTTTTTGTCTCTCCAGTGGTGCAGATGTTTTAGTAGATTTTTAAGTTTTGCTTCACACACAAAATGATTAATTCACTATGTCTCTTTTCATTGCACTTGACATAGTTTCTTTTATTGATACACCAACTTTTCCACCTCAGCTGAGAGTAAAATTTTTTTGTGATATTCTGAGGGTTTTCTGCCAAACCTTTAGCTGAAAGATACACAACAGAAACACAGGAGTTACAGCTTCTTCTCAGGTGTGTTCAGACAGAAAATAAGTCGAATTTTTGCTTTTCACCATTAACTTGAAGACTGAACCATTTGTGTTTATGCAGGCTACCAGCTGTACAGACTTTGCGTTGTGGAAGTATGTCTGTGTTGAGCTTAGCTTCGGACTGAACTCAAGACTCACAAGAAACTTTTTTATCATGTAGCGGACTGAATATCTTTTCATCCAGATGGTTAGAGTAATTATTTTTCAAAAAAACAGATGCCTAACAATATAAAGTAATATGCTAATATGCTAAGACAGAAGAGGGACCTGAACAGCTGGTAAAACCATTTCCAAAGAAGTTTAATATCAGGTTTTACCATGCCATATCATTGTATTCTGGAAATGTTGAACCTGTTTAGCTTGTCACAGTGCTAGAAATGCATGTCGGGGTTCAGTTCCTCTCTAAGGAAACTGTACAGTAAGAATACACATACATGATCCAGTTTGGACAATATTTTCAGCTCCAGCCACTAAACCTAACACGACTCCTCTTTAGAGTGGCTGGGTTAAGTGAGCAGAGCACAGCCCGCTGCCTGTCATCGTCTATTATTCATGATGTCTGCAGGCATCTGATACCTACTGCCAAAACTCTTGGCTTGAAAACAGACTCAAACATACACTGTGTTGCAGTCTAACTTTAAACATAACCTGTTGTCTTAAGTAGAAATCTACAGATGACAGTTATGTCATGATCTTGACTTGACCGCCCAATACAAATACTAGCTCAGTCAGAGCTGCAGGTAAAAGTATTTTAGTCTTTATAGGCACTGACTGTTATAGATAGTGTAAAATACATTCATTCAATAGCTTCTCACAGTATGTCTTACTCACTACACATCAAAGGGTATGCTACTCACACACACCAACATGTTGCACATGCACCGGTTCTTAGGAATTGTAAAAGGAATAAAATAAAGTGGGTAAACTTTGGTCTTTATGATACGGAAGAACATTGTTTTATTAGTTTCATAAATGGCCATAAACAAAGACAGAATGCTCACATCCTGGACTGTAGATACAGAAATAGCTTATTTGTGTTCCGACTCAGTAATTAGAGATTGCACAAGCAAAGCTGTGAGTCAATGTCTGTTCCCACATACCTAGGGAGTGTGAGGACATGGTATGAAGAGCCCTTTCTCCAATCTTTGAAAGTGCACTGAAGTAGGCCTCACTTGTTACAGCAAGAGCTGAAACACACACAAACACAACAGACACTTGAAATGCAAAATGATTTTGTACAACTCCTTTCCCTGGTGTAGAACTGTAAAAGCAGGTAAACAGAGCAATTCATTATAAAACACGGAGATGGAAATACAATTATTCAATGATTTAAATTACCATACACAGAAACACCTCTCTGCAATAATTTTAAAATGTTTACCTAAATAACAGCATAAAATCACAGTGAATAATTTTTCTTCATAAGCAATAACCATAAAGTGTCTGTTCACTGTCATTGATACTTCTGTGCACTTTGATCATCTGCTATTGATATTGCTTTATTTCTATCGGCTATTACACTGTCCTGGATATTCAGTGGGTGGGAAAAACTGCCTTGTTTTTGGACTGATGGGGCTGCAGCCAGTGCTAAGCAATCAAACACACTTGCCCTGAGGCTGTCATACTAATGGATTTCAATATTAAACACCTACTGTATGTGATAGTAATAACAATGGATAAGGAGACTGAATGGCATCCACTACCTTTTTCAGTTTTCTTTAGCAGAAGCTGCATTAGTAGAATCTAAACAGACATTACTTCTTGGTCTTGGCTTGAGCTCATTAACTTGTTATGGAGTTATGACTCTACCCTGAACACAAGGAGGGAACTTATAGCCTCTGTGCAGGTGGCAACAAGAGACATCATAACCTGCCTTTTATTGCCTGCAGGGGTTTTGGTGCAGTGGTGCTACTATGGATCAGTTGGTGATGACGTTGCATTACTGCTCTCTCATATATTAAACAAACACCTATAATGTCATATAATGTGCAAAAGCATCACCGTGTGAAACTGCTTCTGTGACTGAATTGCATTTGCATTCCAGCATTTTAAAGGTCTTTCACATTGAATGCACTGCACAGGGATTAGAGGTAATTATTATGTGGATAATTAAGACCTAAAATATAGACACAATTACTGTATGTTAGAATTCAAATTAAAAGTTTAATCCTGGCTGTAAAATGACCTATTCTCTTCTTCACAGGACTTAAAGGAAACACATTCCGATATAGAGCATATAAAAAAATCCAATACCCTTAGGCCAAGCCTAGATTCAATATCCTAAATCCCTTCCTCTGTATATGGAAATCAAATATAGCTGTGGGGCCATGTTTGTCTGTTGACAATGTACTCATAACAACCTCTGCAGGCCTTGGTTACAAGCCCATAACCAAGGCTATATCATCACCGGGATATTCCCAAAGCATATGGACTTTGGAATAAGGTGCAGTGAATAGACACCTGGCAGCACCCATATTCTGTGTGCTGCCATTATAGTTTTTCTCTAGTTTATAGCACTTATAGGTGTGTGTATTTCCCACACAAATGGCCTAAAACTGAGAAATTCTCATTAGCCGATTGCTTTTCTTTCTTTCTGTCTTACCCTGGAAAGCGTGTATGTAGCTGTTACCCAGTGAAACCAGTTTCTGTAGGCTTGGGTTGAACTCATCCATCAAGCTCTGTTTGGGAAACACAAACACACAGACACACATATACACCACAGTTTCTGTTGAATTTTGAAAGTCAGAGAAAGTTAAAGGAGAATCAATACAATCCATCTTTAATTCAATCTGTATTTATGAGCACAAACTCTCCCTCCCAACACCGAAACACAGACAGCCAGAGACTCAAATCTCTGGTGTTATCAAGCGGAGGAAATACTCCCTGAATTTCAAACTGTGAATTCACATCATGTTTGCTTGGTAGAAATGAAAAGAAATCACAACACAGGACAGCCCACTCTTACAAGCATGTGGTTATTTTTTGCACCCATATGTCTCACATGTAAGTTTGTTGTTTGTTGGGCCAGTAGCCCACACATAAAGTGTTACTTACCGAGTAAATCCCCAAGGTGGAGCGATGCAACTTATCACAATTCATCCCCGACATGTTTATATCCAGAGTAGTGCAACTGAAAACCTCGAGAGGGTCTGTAGGGCTTAAATCATCCAGCAAATGTAACAAAGTCTCTGTGAGAAATGAGAGTTAATCGTATTGAACTGGACGTGGAGTTGAGGAGAGGAGGCAGTTCAGTGTGTTTGTAATCGACACCACTGTGGCCTCAGAAAGACTGGAGTAAATAATTAAACATGGCTCAACCATAAAACACACTGACATGTGCTATAAACCCTGACTGTGTATGTGTGTGTGTGTGTGTGTGTGTGTGTGAGAGAGAGAGAGAGAGAAGAGAGAGAGAGAGTGTGTGTGTGTGATGTGTATTTGCCACATGGTATGTTTTTCAAGACTGCAAACAGAGGCCTGTTTGTAACTCTGCAATGTACAAAATCATATATATATATATATGTATATATATATAAATAGGAAGTCACATTGAGATGAGATCTTATTTACAAAGATAGACCTGAAACAAGAAATAAGACAATATATAATATAAAAATAATAACAATAAAAATATTGTAATGATTTAGAATAATAATAATAAAATAACAATATAATAGCAAATATTTAAATATAGATTTATATACAAAACTTCATTCACAGCAGCAGGATGGACACAAAATAAACTACATTGTTCATGTTTATCATGACATATATGTTATGTCATAAGTAACATGTCACTTAGTACAAGATGTGACTGACAGATTAGACTTTGTCTCTTTAGGCTTTGGATGCACAGCGTCAATGCATGAAGAATAA